TATTTATATATGAAGGTGTGTTAAAAAAATAAAATAATTTTACATCACTTGATTTGCTTGAAGTAAAAATTGTTTTTCACAATTTAATTATTGAAATCAAAACTACTGACCAATTGCTTAAATTATATTTTATATAATATAGATATACTAAGCTATATTTTTTAAATTATATTAGGAGAGAACATAAAAATTAAAGTTAACTTCAACAATCTTAAATTGTGTTATGGGGTACTTTTAACTGCTGTTGCGTGCTTATTGGGAAAGTCTTGGATGTGCGATTGAGCATCTGTATGTATGAAAAGATGACTGTAGAGTGGAAGACAGATTGAAGAAGGAGCTACTAGATATGTAAATGGTACACAGCTGGAGAGAGCGTGCCGTACCGTAGTCAGCTGGAGCAGGTGTGCCTCCAGCACATTCCATGCAGGATTTGTTGCAAATGATACTGTCCTGCTCCATCATTCAGTCATAAAAAAAATCATTCAAGAACTGTTTTAAGTGCTTCTTAGAAAAACGACGTTGTTATTGTAATAGATATCACACAGAGTGCTGATCAAATATTTGCTAGTACTTCCCAAACAATAAATATATTCGTTTCGTTTGTTTGGTATTTTTGAATTTGTTGAAGATTTGTATCCGAAGATAAATTTTAATTATAATTTTAACATAAAATAATTAACATAACTTAATTATATAATTTATAACATAAAATCCCCAAAGATTCGGTGAATATGTATTGATTTTGAAGAATCCGTTCTCTAACTGATGTATGTTGAAATTATTATAATTCTACTTGTATTGTTACAACCTCTGGCGAATCTACGACAGAGGGGCTATCAAGCTGAATCCTCTCCCTCCCAAAATGGAAAAACAATTATTTTTCATTGTTCCGTATTTGTTTCTGTGATTGATTTAGCTAAAACCGTAAGCAATCAAATATGTACTCTTTTAAAATTATTACGCATGTATTTCAGCTACTAAATGTAAACTCGTTCCATTGATATTAGGTATAAATTGTTATCCTTAAGTGCATTATTTTTTTTTTTTAATAGTATTATTATATTTTTTTATTTTGTACAGTTCTTCATGTTCCACTTCGACATTATTTAGTACAGAGATTTTCTTTTTCTTGCCAAATAATGAAGGTTATTTAAAAAAGTAAATAAATAAATAAAAACAAGAGCACGTCCCAAAATTAAATCCTGGATCCGTTACTGGTTATAACCTTCAATACCATAGATTCTAGGTGCCATTTTTACAGTTGTATTTGGATACATTTTGTGAGAGATTGAATAGGTTAAATTCTCTTTAGGACCTGGTATAAAGTCAATTCCACAATTACAACTTACTGACGAATAAAAAATAAATAAATCAAAAAGTGAAATCGCGTTAGTAGTTGGAATACTTTACAGGTAGAAGTGGATCATGGGCAACGGAAAACCAATTGTTGACAATCTTAGTGCCAGTAAGATATTCATCGAAACTATAATTATTGATTCATCGCATTGTCGTTCAGTTGAACAAGGTATTCGATTCTTCTAATTGTTCCTACAGAAACGATTAATCGATAGACAGGACATATCGAGGAGGCGGAGATGGCCGGGGGCAGTGGATCAGGGTGGCCAACAATAATCATAGGGGGCGAACAAATCACGGCTACCGCAGGCTCCCCAATATCTCAACAGTTGGCAGCCTGCAATCAGGGGCCAACCGACCACCTCTTATATTTCCGGTACCGAGTGTCAGTGTCTTATTTGTTAACTTATCTAAGAGAAATTGAATAATCGCGCATTCAATTTTATTCTTTTATTGTTCGATTTTATTATATTTTGTAATCAATGAACTTTCATGAAAGTAAAAAGGATGTGCGAAGTTTACAATTGTAGTGAATTAAAAGCTATATAAGAAATTCTAAAAGCCATGTAGAGTATATATTGCAACGGAGATATCTCTAAGCTGGTAATAAATAATTATTTTCACTAGTAAAAAAAATGTTCTTTAGAAGAATGAACATTTTGAATTCAGTCTCTTTCCTTCTGAATGAGCGATATATTAGGTCTGAATGGTCTTTGTTACCGATATCTGTAGTTATTAACTCGATTTATACAACCAATAAATATAACACAATAATTAAAAGGCATGTGAAGGCCACGATCATGTACTAATTAGTTTTGTGATTATAACACAATATTATACATAATATTTTACATCCCATACTGAATATGTAATTATCATTTATCATAACTTCTAGAACCAACTACAAAAAAAAAAATTCAACTTGATTAGAAAAGCCGCCTCCATTAAAAAAGATATATATATAATTACCGTATTTATCATCTTAATCTTCACGTCACAAATCCCTTTTAATTGGTGTGGTTTTGTTATTGAGAAAGTTTCTATAAAATGAAGAATCCATGAAAAGATTACAATATATTTGTCATCGAAAACATCGTTGCTATGGAGTCCTATTAACGTGTCCATCTCTCCCAAGGCCGATGACGCATATTCTCTCTCCCGTTCCAAGAAAATTTATTGTTATCCTCTCTTTAAAAAGGGTGTCAATGAAGGTAAAATTATAAAATTGTAGTTTAGTTTTTTTCCTTTGTTTTTTGGTTTGAAAGTGTATATGGTTGTCTCCGAAAATTTATAATATCATATATACATACATATACATATATATATATATATATATATATATATGTATATATATATATATATATATATATATATATATATATATATATATATATATATACACATACAAATTAGTAGTTTTTATTTATAATCTCATATAAATACATATACGCATATATATATACCTCCTCAAAAATCCTAAACCCCTTCAAAAATGTGCCCCCAAAAAAATGTTTATGGCGAACTTTCAGGACACTCCTGCTTACTAATATATTGACAGTAGGATATTGAGAATCGTAACAAATATACCGAGACTCGAGCAACAGTTGTGCGCACAATACACATTGTAAAACTTACAATGCATACAGAAAATGTAACTGAATCTCCTGCTGTCACGAACTCAATATTTCAAGAATTTCTATAAAGTAATTTGTTGACTCCATCTGTTGTGAAAAGGGAAATTAAAAAAAAAAGAATTATTGAATAATATAACATTCTGTCACTTGGAAATTGGTTATAGGGAGGTAAGATAACATTCGCACAATATTTACAAAGAAAAAATAAAATAAAAAGGAGCAAAATAACTAAATAATAATCAAAAAGTATAAACAATAAATAAAATAAAATAACTTAAAGGTTAGTTAATTAAAAAAAAAAAGTATACATAGCTATATACACTATTTTCAACCAAGCAAGGGAACTCCGTGGCAGGCTTGTCCCTCCAATTGTGGAGTGAACAGCAGGACTCCAGGAGATCCCAGCGCTACCCTCAACCGCTTCACTGGTACTAGAGCCAGTGGAGATTGATCGAGAGCTCTTAAATTTTAATGAGAATATTAATAGCGATGGATATATCCACTCCCAAAGCTAACCATGCAGTCTACTCAGTATAGGAGAAGACCTATTATCCTCGAGGCAGTGGCTGGAGGAGGCTGCGCGGGTGGCGCCACGTCCTACAGTGACAGCTTCCGCCCCCGCCCACAGCCAGCGGGACCTAATGTTATACAACACCCCGCTATCTACACATTGTCAACAATGGCCGATAATGCCCCTTTTATCTTCTCGAAAACAGCCCTAAACCGCTGGGATCGAAGGGATGTCAGCAATATCAGATACCGATTTGTAATGATTATCCTGGAAACCTTGTATATGTTATGTATTCTTCTAACTTTTTTTTAGTGTATTCTTTATCTTTTAATAGACATCTAGTATTAATATCCAGGTATCAATTTAATGTTTTTCTCAACGCTCCTTACTTTGTCACAAATAAAATCATCCATAAAGTTCCATATATTTCCGATTTGGCACAATCCAGATACCTATTCTTCCATAAAAAACTCCAGAACCATCCGAACCCTCTCGTTTCAAACCTTGCTTCTTCGTTTCAAACCTCGATCCGAGGCGTCTGAAAAGAAGATAACCTCGTGATCTTCTTGTGTCAATTTATTATTTGAGTGCTATCAGTGAGTAGTTTATAAACAAGCGATTTCATGTTATTATATTCCTGAGTGCACATTTACTAGTTGTATTTTTTTGTAATGCAGTTGTAAATATCGATGAATAAAAAAAAAAATTAATGTTCTAATATTTTTCAATAACTAGGCTTACTGATGATACAACCAATGTTTGTCAACTTGACTAGTATTAAAGTAACCGATCCTGTACTACAACACATACAGGAACTTGGAGTCAATGCGTCTTGAGGAAGTACTATTTCCAAGCCTAATTAATTAATGTTACTTACTTTTTGAGGCTTGGTGTGCTCCAGAAGGGTTTCCCGATTAAAGAACTCCATAAAAACCCAAGACCTACTACATTTGTCTCATCAACGTTGCCGTCGACCTATAGGAGGTTTGCCAGTCGGTTTAGCGTTTTTTAATAGAATAATAACTCGTAGACTATCCACCCCGAAAAGGCTACAATTGGACTTGAGGTGTTGGGAAGCTATTTAACAATATTTGTGCTTGGTCGGATAGTAGTTGTCGGAATTATACGTCAGCAGGTAGTAACTAATTACGTTATTGCGAATTTATACCTAATTTATCAAGCCACAATTAGGCCATAAAAATGATATAAATCTTATCATAAGTGATTTAATTTTAATAAAATATCATTAGTTGACTTTATTCAATAAACTGACGGTTTCTTCTTTTAATCTTGTCTTTATTTCTTCTTTAGTTTAGTTTTATTTAAATTTCACAATATATTTACGCTTTTTTACATTTTCCAACACATACAAAATAACATTAATATATAATAATAATAATAATGTATACAAAATAAGAATTATCTTATTTTGTTAATGTATTAACATAGGGTGATACAATAGTTATAAAACAATTATAAGATATTGATATACATTGCAGAAGGGACTCGGAAATGAGCGGCCATTACACGCGGCTCAGCCGGCAGCATCACGACTGGGACATCAACGACTCCAACGTGCCTAGGGTAAGTATTTTAAATTAATTTATATTATAATAAATAAAACACAGCCGGATCTATGGGGGAGGAGGGGCTTTGGGGATGAAGCCCTCCCCCCAAAATGGTAAAATATAACCATGTTTAATGGAAAAAAATATGTTTAATGAATGAAGTTATGGGATAAATGTCATCATTATTTTTATTTTAAAGATTAATCAAGTATTTCTCTGATCTATAAATTCTTCTAAAAATTTCCCAAGTTCAATTTGGTTTCAAAGTTCAGTTCAATTAATCGCAGAATTCCTAAATACTAGTATAAAATATCATAATAGAAGGGCTAGTTTAGTTATATAATAATAGAAAAGAACAATTTTCTAAATTTGATTTCCTTCATGTACAGGTTTTTTTTTTTTTCTTCAAAATTATTTTCTTTCAAAATCTCGAAATAATAAGCAAGTTGTAGTTGTCAATTAATGTTGTTGTTAACATTTCATTTTGATTTTTTTTCGACGTTAAAAGTTTTGCTTGCCACCATTAGCCCCCTAAAATATCGGCCTCAGATAATGCCGCCCGAGAAGATATCTGTTTGAAGAGCTAACAGTTGAAGCGCCGCTTTTGTTAATTCCTGAGTCATCATTCAATTTATAAGCTCGCTGTAATTAGGAATGCTATCCAGCAGTTAGTCTGTTCCTCCCTTAAGTTCCCTCACAAAACGGAAACACTGATGATCCGTTCGGTTAGAAGGCACTATTTTACGCTATCGGAGGTTGGCGTAATAGTGTTTATATGTTTTACAGGATCCATGCTGGAAATATGCATATTACCTGAATAAATAACATTATAGTGTCTTTTGATCTTAATGTTGAATCATAAATCCATCTAAGTTTTATATATAAATTAATTGCCGAATATAAATCAAAGCTTTATTATAAAAAATATAAAATAAAGAATAAGACAAAGATAGTTTAACGAAATTAAAAAAATTCTTTGAAATGATGTATTAATGGAGATATTATATTAATATGAATTCCACAGCAGTTATGTTTGTATGAAAATGTTTTTCAATAAATTAAAAGTACTATGAATAACGAAGTAAAGTTATATTGAAGTCAACGTTGGCTATGATTAAACATTTAGTAGCTGAATTAGAGCTTATTTTTCAAGCTAGACTTGTGTTTCTTCGTTGGTAGGTATTATATTAAATATGACCTACAGCCATTGACCAATAAAAAACCAAACAAATGATATTATCCACTTATGTAAGTTTTAATATTTTCGTAAAATGCAATTAATTATTATTAATAAAGTATTTTCTATTACTATCCATTTTACTATGCAAGATAGAATTGTGCAAAATGAAATAATGAGATTGGAAGTGGTAACAATTTTAAACTCTATTAAATCGAGGATCAAAATTTGAATCCATGATATCAGCATTGATATTTCAGTGAAAAAATTAAATAAATTTTTAAAAAATAATGATTTTATACGGTTTCGCTAATGCTTTAAAGTTTCACTCGACGTCCGGAGTCAGTCATTACGATATTGGATACCGCTTAGTCAAGAATTAGAAAACCTAGCCAAAAGAGGTTTATTAACCATATCATTATATATTGCGACTAAACTATCTCTAGCATAGTAAAATGAAAGGAGAAAAATATTCTACGAAAGCAATGATATATTCGAGGGACCCAATAACTACCAATCGGAGAGAGGCTGCGAGATATATCTCTTCCTATTTGCGATTCAAATCCTCACCGGCCTAATCATAGACTGCCTCGGTCACAATCGATTACTGAATATAACAATTAAATCATAACTGGACCTTCTTGTATACAGAGGATTCGATACTACACCCATACCAGTTCATCTATCTACTTTCTATAATATATTTCAATCCGTTTTTTTATATTGTTATAAGGATCATTCCACACAAAATCAACAGATAAAAAAAACATTTCATGTTGAGTTTTTAAAATGAGTTCAATTTTATTTTCATATTAGGTTTTTTATTTATACTTATCATAAAAGGACTTGGTTTTTTGAAATTTCTAGAAGTTTTCAAAAGCAATAACCAGGGATGCCAATCCCCTCTTCCTCCTCTCCCCATCCCAAGAAATTTTAGTGCTCTCTTCTTCTTAAAAAGAGTGCAAAGGAAAGTAGAATTAAAAAATTCATAGATAAGATACTGTTGAATCGGTGAGAAAGGCAACAGTACATGTCTCAGATCAGCGTTTTGAAGTATCTGCATTCAAAGGTTTGGTTATCCTGTGAATCACTACAAGTGTGTTTTAAGGATTGATTAGTGTAGGACATGCATGTGTTATTAGCATACTGTCCTTGCGCTTAACGCCTAGTTCAAAATACAAATTATCATTTTTCAAAATGGTTCAAATTGGACTTGTCCTGTTTTTATTCTCATTGATTCATTTATACTTGCTATGTCTATATTTTTCCCTTTGTTACCTGGTTTGAACATTTTCACTCCAAGAATTCATAAAACCCATCGTGATGGGTCCCCCTCAAAACTTCAAACTGCGTAAAAATGTGCACACCTCAAAAATTTTGATGGTTGAACTTGGACCATGAAACCTCATTCCTGCCCATAACATAAAAAGCATTTCTGTAATAAAGCTAAACTTGCATTATTCTCATCAGAATTATACCACGACCATTTAATAAAAGCCGTTCTCATCACCACTTTTCTATTCCAGTTCTGTCCCTCCGATCTACCACTGCTCGGCCTTCAATAACTAGTGTTGCCGAAAATCGGTCTTGGCCTTGCGATTTGCAGGACAAAGACCAAGACCCCCTAACTATTGCAAAACTTTAGACCAACATTGGTAAAAATAAATCGATTGGGGGGATAAAATGGTATAACCATTATACTTATGCATATATCTCTTACAATTTTTCATTCAGGCTTAGTTAGCTTTCTCCTATCTGAAAAAATACAGTGATAGGCCAGTAGCTAACAGCGAGAATCTTGCGCAAGACCAAGTCTTGGTCTCTTACTTGGGCAACACTATCAATAACTAGCAAAGGTGTAAAAGGATTTTAATATGAAATTTATTGAACTACTTGAATTTTAAAATTTATTTCGTTTTGAAAAAAATAAATAAAAGAGATTAAATATTGAAAATTTTGGTGACAGGTCAGCGAATATAACCGATGGGAGGAGTGGGCCGATGGGCACTGCAGGCTGGTCTACCCCCCTCACTCCGAGGAAGCCAAGCGGCACGCCTCGGGCTGGGCCATGAGGAACACCAACAACCACAACGTCCACATCCTCAAGAAGTCCTGTCTAGGAGTCCTCGTCTGCAGCAGGAGATGTATCCTGCCCAACGGAGACACTGTTCATCTGAGACCTGCCATATGCGACAAGGCGAGGAAGAAACAGCAAGGTAAGATAATTCTTAAGTAAGAATTACAATTGCTAATAAAAAATCTTTATAAATGTTCCTCTCCTATCAAATATTTTATCTTTGAATAATGAACCGAGAGAATATTTTTGGCAATCTCGCGCTTAATTTTATATAAAATGTAATACCAGAGTAAAACAAATTATTGTTATAAATGAAGATTGGGCATTAAGCCAAACTAAAAAAAAAAAAAAATGTCTTCACGTTTATCTCGTTTTTGACGTCAAGTATTCAAATATTAGTTCAGTTTTAGCTAAGCACTATATTCAATACATTTGGTTTAGGTAAGCCTTGCCCGAATAGACAGTGTAGCGGTCGACTGGAGATCCTTCCTTGCCGTGGCCATTGCGGCTATCCAGTGACCCACTTCTGGAGACATACGGAGCACGCCATATTCTTTCAGGTAGGTTGCTAAGATTTACCATTGACGCCCCTATATTTTCACTCTATGACACAACCCCACCACTACAATCGCATTCCCCACAGGCCAAAGGCGTCCACGACCACCAGAGGCCCGAAGCCAAGTCCACTTCTGAAGCCAGGAGGAGCCTGGGGGCCGGCCGGAGGGTGAGGGGGCTCGCTGTCATCCTCGACAAGGACTCGGAGCTTCCCAATAAGGTGAGTCTCGTTACAAATAACGGCATAAATATTCCTTGTTATAAGATTAAGTATTCTTCTAACGATTTTCCAAGCAATAACTAATTTAATTCGAAGCAATCAGGTTGATAAAGAAGTTTTCACTTATCACTTTCACTCTTTTAATGATTTTAAAGATTTCTTCGGTGTGCTCTTTGGTATCAAAGGATCGTTGATATCACCATGATAATCTAATAACTAACTGTTTTGTTCTAACTTATTTGTTTCGACAATATGACTGAGAACATCTTATTTAATAGTTCTGAGTCTTAAAAATGACTAGAAATCAACAATAGGTCTAAATCTCTATGGCAGCTTTCCCTTTCCCCTCCACCGATGTTTGAACTGATTTCATTCCTCCTCATCAATATTTTTAATGATCCCGTGCATAAAATAATGTAAAATCTTATATATTTGTATTAACAAATGTATAAGAATAAACAAGTTCACTGTAATTATTCTAGGCGTGCTATATTCCTATGTATATAATCTATTCATGTTTAGCAGCGTTTACATAACACCCAAATCACGACGAGCATTTAAAAGTGTTGTGCTCGACCCGCGCATGTTTGTTTTCCTCTTCGACTCCAGATAAAGGAATCTTACTTCTCTACGGTAATATATGAAATTTAAGAAAATCATTTTTTTCTTTGAAATATCTGAAACTTTTATGTTTCGAATTTTCAATTTAACGGATATTTAATAATAATAATAAATTTTTAAGTAACCTTAAATTGACACAAGTTGACATATTGTCAATTGATTGACATATTGTTCTGTTGGAGAACTAACAACGAAAGGTAATAACTATTATCCCCACCACCTAAGCTAATACCTAATATTATAGAGAGCGTCTGGTACCCGGAAGGTAGTTTATATTCTACAATAAAGAACAGTTTTTGGTGTATAACCACTCCGATATTTTACTATGAAATTATTAGGTGCACGACAATTAGGATAATTGTAATACCGATATTTCCAAATTCAGTTTCTGCATCCCACTGATATCCTGGGATATCATTCCGCCGCTATACTCTCGCTTTGTTCATAGATACCTGATAAAAGGTACTGCTATTCTCTGTTCTACGACTCTGAAATAGGATTGAGACAGCAGTCGAACAGAAACAGTCAGTTATGTCCTTGAACCACTCGCAATCCTTCATGTCCTCAAGACCATCCTTCATGTTCCCCTATCTCCTCGCCAGGTCGACCAGGTTACATCAGCTTCTCCAATGTCGGGCGAATTATTATTGGCTTCGCGTAACTACGTTTGTTCATGTCCGTTACGCACCCAGTAGGTGGAAGATGGGTAATGTCAACTAGTTATTATCCCAGTTTCAAATTGTTTTTTCCTGTCAGCAGTAGTTGCTATGTTTATCTGATATCACTTGATATGTTGATATGTTTATCTTTTGTCACTGGTAACAAAATGTTCCAAGCTGATCTTGGAAAGGCTTTTCAGGAGAGCACATTTAAGTTCATGAATCAAATATTATTTTTTTTTAATTATAGTTATAAATTGTTTATTGTTGATATAAGAAATAATTTATAATGCTAAAACAGCACTCTGTTTATTTTATTTTATGTGTTAGCATCTTGTAGATCTTTTTCCGCCTTAAACCTTCTCCATACCTGCCTATCTTGGGCTATTTCTTTCCAATTATCTGCATGAAGTTCTATTGCATCTTTGTTGATTCGATCTGTCCATCTGCTTTTAGGCCTTCGATGTAGTCTTTTGCCTACTACTGAGGCTTTTATTGTTGTGTAGAGGCTTCCAAATGGATTACTCCCAGCTATATGCCCCGTCAATCTTAACCTCCTTGCCTTTATAGCGTGAAATATTGATTGACCAATTTTCGTAAGCAGCTCTTTATTGGTCTTTCTCCTCCATGTATTAGTACTCTGATCCCAATACAGCACTCAGATAATTACTGATTATAATCCAATTGACAGAATGACTAACTAATTCCAATTTTAACATACTTTAGTAAAGTTCACAAACAGTATTTTTAATTAAAAAATATTTACCTTCTTCAAAATTATGGTAGAAATATTAGTAATTGTTTAATGACGGTTAATATATTTGCTCTACTTTTCGGGAACAAAACGTAACGACAAATATTGTTAAAAGTACTTTATTGAAAAATGCTGAAATTTAATTAGTAATTCCGCCTACTGAAAGGCTCAGGAAAAATAATTATTGTTGGAAGTAGTGCTGCCCAAATACGAGACCGAGACGAGTCTTGGTCTTGCAAATTCAGTCTTGGTCTTGTGCAACAGTCTTGCAGTTACCTATTAGCTTATTGATATAGAAATATTACTGTAATTTTTTAGGTTGTTGAAACCTAGCTAAACCCGAATGAAAAATTAGAAGAGTTAAATAGAAAATCATATTGGTTATACCAATTCTTTGCATATAGTAAATAAAATTGTCAAGTATTAGTAACTATTTTGCCTGAATTTTTGTTCAAATAGTCGATGTTGCATTTTTAGTCAAACAGTCTTGGTCTTGGTCTTGCAATAGTTAGACGATCTTGCTCTTTGTCTTGCAAAATGTAAGACCAAGACCGACTTTGGGCAACACTAGTTGGAAGTTGAATAGTATAGAGAGGAAATTATATGAATTTAAAAACTATGGTTTATTTTACAGATGTCTATGCTTAACGAAAACAAGCGACCATCATATGAGCTAGAAGCCACTCATTTCACCCCGATGCCGTCTCCATCGCTATCTATCGATAAAGGTAAACTAAGTAAAATATTTTTTTAAATTTATATGTATACAGATACATTAGTGTGTCAGATATAACTTCCAATTAACATTTAAACTACATGTTTATACATTACTATCTCAAAAATATAGAAGCTTCGTTCTTGATTTTCTTATAGAATACGTTGGGTCTTGTCGAAAAAAAAAGGAAATGTAAGATATTCAATGTATCCTATCTAGATGACTTACAACTTCATTTTCTTGGACCATGCATTTGACATTTAATCCTTTATGGGAGAAAGAGGTGTCGGACTTCAGTCAGTGATAGCTTAATCTGATCATCCACTTTCAAATATATTGGTTGTAATAATTTCAGGATAGACTATTATCCATCATATGCAACTAATTCATTAAAATTTTCAAAAATATTTAATAGATAGTAACTAGAAGAGCAGTTTAAATTATGTTTGTCGTATTATCGGCATGAAACTTTCTTTTTTTTTCTTCATTTTATTTATAAGTCAATGTAATGCTTTTCTGACCATTCTCAAAAGGTAGTATAGTGAATGTGATACCATTAATTAAAAAGTAATCTTGAAGTAGTAATTCTCAATTATATAAAGGTTTTTAATAATACTGAATCTCAATATTGGCCCTATACAGACAGACTCTTAATGATTCATAGATAAGGAAAAGGAATAAATAATGTATTATTTTGTTGTTACGTCTTAAATTACATGTTTCCTCACTAGTAAAACATTTTTTTTTTTTTTGCAGGTTACTCTTGCTCCTGCCCGCCGTTCGAGTGCGCCTGCGCCGTGCAGACCCAGGCCCTAGGACACACCGGGTGCGGGGGCCCGGCCCTCAGCTACAGTACCGAGGAGTGGTACCCCCCGACGGAGCACTACTACCCGGAGCCCTCCATCCCCCCACCCTATGAGATTCCTCCTTTGGGTGGCGACCTCTTTCCCCAAGAGGAATCCCCAACGTTACTTGACTTGGGGTCTGGCCTCATCCGCAGCCTCAAAGAGAGCCCCGAGCAGCCCTTCCAAACAGACTGGTATCCTCAAGATCCTTTCTCGGAACTGGATGTCCTCACCGGAGAATCCTCCCAAGAATCCTCCAACGATTTTGCCATGTTCCAGCAGCACGGTTACTATTACCATCAGAACACTGTTAGTCACTAAGTTCAAGAGTTCATATGCGTTGTAAATATATCAAAAAGCTATTGTACAGTCCATTTGGTTTAATTTTGTATTTCCGTATTTTCCATTGTATATAAACTTCTCTCTATTTGTATATATAATTGTTGAATGATGTTTTCACTGATAGAATTGATGTTCGAAAAAAAACACATTTGAAGTGTCAGTATTGTAAATAAATATATTATCTTGAAGCTAAATAGAGGTTTATTTTATTTTTTCCTATTCTACTAATTTTTTAATGGAAAATCAGATGTATGATTTCTTTTTTATTAAGATCTACTAATTTAGGTTAAATGAAATGAATAAAGGTTGTGTTTTTATGTGAGTCACGTTTTTATTGAATAGAAAGCGATAACTATAAAATTACTTCATTGAAGTAATTAAACGTTGCTCCATAGTAAACGAGACAAATTATATTTTAAACGGATTATAGTTAAAACTACTCAAAGAGTAATATTGAGAGGACAAACAAGTTCCGTTTAAAAAAAGTCAGTTTGTCCGCTCAATATTACTCTTTAAATAGTTCTAATAACGACAAACTGTACTTTCGTTTAAAGTAAATTTTGTCTAATTTAATATGGAGCAATATTTAATTACTTTAATAATTCTTTTTTTAAAGTTATTCCTTCCTATTAACAAAAAGCGTGACTCTCATAAAAAAAAAACACAAATCTTATATTTCCAACTTTTCTGCTGAAAATTAGGCAATTGTTTATGTAATATTTTTCGTAGATCTTGATGTCTACTATCAATCTTTTAAATATTTCCCTCTGGTTACGGGAGACCCTGTATAAATGTTTAAATTATTCAAAATGACCACCTCTGGTCCGAATAGAGACTTGTAGTCTGCGATGTCAGTCATTTATTGTATAATACATTACTTCTTTACTAAAATTGAAAAGTTTGACCATAATACTAAATCTTGTTAATTAATTTCATGGTAAAACGAGGGCACCATCCAAACTCAGTGATGGTTTGTTGTGAATGAATAGGATAGTCATAGGGAGTACGTGTTGAGAGAGAGAGAATGACTGATGAACAATGACAGCAGTATCGGCATTTGTCCAGTCAATGAATGCTCGAAAAAGGGGTATAGAGAAGGAGGGGAGGGGGGTAGTTATATTGCTCTAACCCTCCATAAATCTAAATATGTATATATATATATATATATATATATATATGGGGGCGGGGTGGCCGAATAGGCTAAAGCGTGTGTAATAGCACCGCTAGTTGCCTGGCAACCGGATAACAGAGATTTGAGATGATATAAAAAGTACGAGTTCGCGTCCCGGTGCCGGAGGAGATTTTAAATTCCCCGCCCTCACCCCCCGGCCCGGGAAAATCCCGTATAGCCTAAAAGGCGAGGTAGGGAAGAACAAAAAAAAATATATATATATATATATATATATATATATATACAATAATGCATATTATAAAAAAAAAATCTCGGAATTAATACGTAAATTTTTAATTGATCTAATTTTTGAACCGTTGATGATAAACTAATAAAACAATGTATATTCTTGAAGAAAATTTGATTATTAAAAACTTTCTTTCTTGTGAGTTAATCGTAGAACGAAGTAATCAAGAGTTACCTAATCAAATACAGTAAAAAACAAGAGGTAAACAATTTTTTTTTTCCACTTTAGCGATATTTGAGTAGGGATATCTCGAAAACTAAGCGAGTCAGTGAAAAAAAGGTATATCATTAACCATATTCCAAATTTTAAAAGCTTTAATTTTGTATAGAAAGTTTTTGTCGATGTGATGGATAGTTTTCCTGACGTAAGAGAAAACCCGAAAAAGGTGACCTAGGCGCCTCTCTCCCCCAGATCTGGCTCACCACCTAGGAGTGGTGACTTTAATATGTTTACCTCCTTACTGGTCCAAACAATATCCCAAAGGCAAAAATTGTGTTTCAGCTATTTCCTTCTATAGTCATTTATTGACTAGACTACATGTGTTCTTTCATACCTATCTCGAGTTCATAATTAACAATAGCAATAACGAAGAGGAGGAGATAGGAGCTAGAATAATGGCTGCCAAAAGAGCGTACTTTTCTCTAGCGAGCCTACTGAAAAGTAGATTGTTAAGTCGTACAACGAAGTTTAGGATATACAAAATGATTATTCGGCCAGTTGCAACATATGCGTGTGAAACATGGACTCTAACAAAGGCATCTACTGCACGAATAGATCGATTTGAAAAGAAAATACTAAGACGGATAATAGAACCTAAACTGGAGGAAGGAGCTCAATGAAATGGTTAGGACATGTCCTGAGAATGGATGAAGCGAGAACAGCGAGAAGGCTTTATCATGGGAAACCAGAGGGAGTTATGTCTAGGAAAATACCGAAGGCAAGATGGATAAATAACGTAAAAGAAGACTTGAGAAAAAACGGCATATCCATCAGGTGCACAGCCAACAGGTGGGACTGGGCAAAGGAGATTGAGCAGGCCAAGGACCGCTACATGCGTCTGTTGTGCCAATAATGAATTAACATGTGTTTTTTCATCATAATGAAACATCGGCGCCGACTACTAGGGACTAGCGGACTCATAAACTCATTTGGATTCATAAACTCACCTAAACTATAAAAGGAACCATATATTAAAATACTGTTAGTTTAAAGTATTTTGTGTGACAACAGTTTTTTTCATGAGGAAGGGCTTGAAACCACTTAATGCCTGGTTGAGACTGTAATTTTTCATATAAGCATACAACATATGTATATTGGATATAGGCATATGGGATACATTCCAAACAATATCCCCAACCTCACAGGCCTTTCCCCCACGTGATCCTATTTTATGGGTGCACAGTTCGATATGTCATGTATTGCGGTATTTTGAAAGGCTATTTAGTAGTTAGTTGAGTTTCATTAATTAGCGGCACATCAACGTTCTTTTCAAGGAGGGCAGACTGCGTGATCTTGACTTTGTTTCTTGGAGATCGAGCACAGGCTCCAGCCGAGCTTGATGCTAAGAACTGAAATGCTGGGCTGTACGAAAACAAGCAGATACGTCGATATAATGATCCGTCCTCTAGACACTATTCATAATTTACACAGTAAATATCAACGGTTTTGATGAAGGTTTGACCTGTTCTAATTGAAAAATCACAAAAAGTCTCCAGAAAAATAAGCACATTCTGGGAGCCGAGGTGAAGCGTGACCATCACAACCAAGCCAAGCGCATGCGCATTAATATTAAAATACTTATTTAAATGTAGAGTAGGTAGGTATATAAAAATAGGGAAGGCTCAACATGTCTCTCGGAGAACCTACGGATGAGGATTATTGAAAACCCAAATAAATGGAAAAAGATTATCCGGGAGGAAACAATTGAAGATTGGAGCAGACGGTGGGTGACGACTCCTAAAGGCAGTACCTTAAGAAAATACTTCCCCATCGTTGAATCTCGGTTACAGGCGAAATGGGTCCTCCCGGACTATTGGGTTTCACAATTTCTCACGGGGCATGGGGATTTCAGAGCTAAACTTCATGGCTTCGGACAGGATATAGACCCCCACTGCCCCGATTGTGGTGGTCCGGATACTGTTGAGCATGTGGTCACGGCCTGCACTGCTTTCGACGAATTAAGAGCGAGGTTAATGAGAACCACGGGAATTTACGTCCTCACTGAGGAGGAGTTTCCTCAGTTGGTGAGTAAAGAAAACTTCCCGCGGTTCAAAGAGTTTATAAATGGCTGGAAGACGGCGGTGGGCCCAGCTCACTTCAACCTAGGTGCACGCAGAAGGGGAAGAGGACCAGTCCCAGGAATTCCTCCGGATTCGGGAAGCCAGGCCTAATTTGCTGAAGAATGAGGAAAAGTAGAAGAGCTCGCTGTGTGCACAGCTTAGAATTTTGTGAACGGATATTATGGCAGTAGTGTGTTATTATGCATTAATGCTTAACATCACACTACTGCATACACCCGTGTTGCCCTGGTGGCATGGGAGGGTGGAAAACAAATAAAAAGGTATATAAACATAATAATTGTCAGAAACATCAACAGTACTACATTTTGATGTGGAAGTCCCTCATTTGTGCTGCTCAAAATGTGACAACTTTTTAAATATAGTGAACATTTAAATGTGTTTGATTGGTCAAACCCACAAATACATTGTCCCCATTTTCAGAGAGACGTATTCAGAATAGTCTTAAGATCAAATAAGCTGTTGCACAAGATGGTCCTGGTTAATTAATCCAATATGGCTTTTGTGTCAATTTTGAATATTGGATTGATATATGGAAGCCAGAAGTGGCTGAATTAGTTCAGAAGCGAACCAATCCCGCTTGAACCAAAATCTCAGTCAGCATTTTTAGGTTCTTTAGTGTTGAAAGGTAAATATCCTGTTTTTCTGGCGATGTCTTTTCTCAATAATTGCTTTCAGTTGAACATGTTTATAAAAAAATAAAAAAATTCCCATGGTACTTGTGATGAAATTTAAATTCATCTAGTTTGACGAACCTATCAAAATATTTTTTCATTTCATCATATTTGAGACAAAAATGTCTCACATTTTTATGATTTTTTTTTTCTTTTTCAAATATCTCGAACTTTTTAGTTTGTTTAGTTGATCGAACCGACCAACATAGTTTTTCAGATTCTCTGTGAGAATCTTCTGGAAAGTCTAAATTAACATAAATCTAAAATAAGATTAATATAAAATATTTCTCAAGGGTGACGCTTATGACGTAATTTCTATCAACATTTAAAAAAAACAATTCTGAGTGTCAAATAACCAATTTTTTTGTCTGGTAAGGTATTTCCCTTATCTTCTCTATCAGTACAAGATTTTTATGCAAAATATTTTTGTGGCACTATGAGATAAAAATGATGTTTTTCATTTTTTTTTTAATATTTACCAAATCCCCTAGTCAAACTTTCTGCTGCTAATGAGGTAAGAAAATAATTTGTTAGCTCCCGGACAATTGGGAAAGAAAGAAGTATGAAACATAATTCAAAATTGAGCAGAA